ACGCTCAAGGCAGAAAACAAAGAGGTGACTCCTCCAGCAGAGTCACTGCTGGATCTTGCTGTCTTCTGATCCTGTCTTTTAGTTCCAAGGCTTTGGTCTCCTTCCCAGCACCACCCCTGACTCCAGGATCTCTCCCTGCCAGGCTGAAGAGTCTGTTCCAGCCTACTGAAAATGCCAGTGGGAACAGAGGAAAAAACTTTGGTGTAATTTTAACCTGCTCAGCGGGGCGGGGGGGAAAGGAAGGAAGGAAGGGAGGGAGGAAAAGGAAGGAAGGGAGGGAGGAAAAGGAAGGAAGAAGGGAGGAAAAGGAAGGAAGGAAGAAGGGAGGAAAAGGAAGGAAGGAAGAAGGGAGGAAAAGGAAGGAAGGAAGAAGGGAGGAAAAGGAAGGAAGGAAGAAGGGAGGAAAAGGAAGGAAGGAAGAAGGGAGGAAAAGGAAGGAAGGAAGAAGGGAGGAAAAGGAAGGAAGGAAGAAGGGAGGAAAAGGAAGGAAGGAAGAAGGGAGGAAAAGGAAGGAAGGAAGAAGGGAGGAAAAGGAAGGAAGGAAGAAGGGAGGAAAAGGAAGGAAGAAGGGAGGAAAAGGAAGGAAGGAAGGAAGGAAGGGGGAAAGGGAAAAAGGGACCTTCATGCTTTGTCCTCCCCTCCTCCTTCCTGGCAACTGAGACATCAAAAGGCCAATTGCTGCAGCTGCCTACACAGCAATTAAGTGGAATAGCCAAGATGTCAAGCAACACTACTGCCCATTTACTTTGGCTTTCCTGAAATAGCCAACAATCTCCACATGGCAGGTAGGGAATTTTGGAAACACGGCAACCCACTCCAAAAGCAACAAACAGCTGCTGAAGACAAGTTGTGTTGTGAGAACATGGCTGGAGAACTGAGAGCCCACATTCACTGCAGGATTATTATTATTATTATTATTTGGAGGTGTCCCAGGCCAGGCTGGACAGGGCTTGGAGCAACCTGGGAAGGTGTCCCTGCCATATGGAACAAGGTGATTTTTAAGATCACATCCAACCCAAACCACTCTGGGATTCCAGAAGTGGGTGGATGGGTTTCCTAGTCCAGGTATGTGCTGAAAAAAAGGTGATCAGGTTTTAGATTTGACACTGTGTGTTTGAACTTTGCCACAGGTGAAGATGAGCACACTGCTAACGAAATATTGATAAATGTCCTCATTTTTAGTGAAATACTCTGAGTTATTTACAAAGTGCCCATTCAGTGCCAGTTACAAAGGGGTGCAGTTGAGGATGGGTGTCCCTGTGCTCTGCTCTGGGTGACAAGGTGGGCACCAGTCAAAGGCTGGACTCCATCCTGGAGGTCTTTTCCAAGCTCAAGGACTGTGGGATTCCCACTCTGTGTCCCAATCCCCACAGTCACTCTGCACAAACAGCCTCAGAGCAGCAGGAAGCCATTTCCTGCCCTTCCTTCCTGCCCTTCCTTCCTTCCTTCCCTTTCCAGGGAGTTTTGGGAGTTTCAGAGCCTTGCTCTCCCAACCATCAAGAATTCCTGGGGATTCACTCCTGGGGATTCACTGCCCTTCCCTGCTGAAGGTGCTGCTCTACCACAGTCTCCCCACTCAGAGCCAAAGGGGAGAAAATCAGGAATAATCCTTCAAAACTTTTGTTATGAACAGGGAATTGAGGCCATGGACAGCTGTGTCTGCAGGGCTCGCCTGGGGCTGCTGTGGGCAGGTAACGTTTGGTTTGTGAACACCTGGACACTGCTGATAACAAATCTGCCACCAAGCTCCCCTCAGCATTTGTTCTTTCCATGCTGCAGTGTGTGGAAAGCAACACAATGGGCAAAATGAATCATTTCACCCCAACGTGCTCACACCTCTCTGTGCCCAAAGCGTCTCCTCCATAAACTCACACGCTGCAACACAAACCCCTCACCCTCCAAATTCACCACAGAGCAGGGGGAAATACTGATTTTGGGGGTGCTTTTAGAGCTTTGATTATTGTTTTCCTAAGAGTCACTAAGTGGAGGCTCTGCTGATGAAAAACTCTCTCCCTCTATATATATATGTATATATATATACACACAGAATATATAAAATATCCTGTGTTTTAGTATATAAAACCACAGTGGTTTTAGTCCATTACCTCTCAAAATCAGGACAGAGAAGAGCTGCTCAGCTTTGACTTCAGAATAAAATCCTGACTTTTTGTGTAAAATACACGCAGACAACCAGTGACAAAGGCTGAAAATTGAAACCAGTGCGAAGTGAAAGTTCTCCCCCGTGCCCTCACCATTCCCAAAGCCCTTGGGTGTTGCATTTTCAAGGCAATAAAAAGGAAAGCTGAAGAGGCTCTGGAGCCTGCCAAGCCTGAGGAGAGCATCAGGCAGGATGGATGGGATGTGCTGCCCTGGGAGCCTCCCAACAGGCTCCAAACAGAAGCCACATGCAGAAAAAGAACGGGAAAGGATCCCTGACTTGGACATGAGCAGGGCTAGGCAGCAACAGGGCTTAAAGTAACAAAAACCAACTGCAGGGGACTTATTCTGCCTGGATCCCTGAGAATGCCAAGGCAACTATTAAAAGAAAGTTGTGGGTGGGGAAAACCCCACAGAAGCACCAAGTTTGCCTCTGAAGAGAGGCAGCAAAGTCTCCAGGCTGAGGTTTGCACCAAGCTGCCAGAGAGCTCCCAGAAGTTCAGGACAAGCCCTAAAGCACAGGAAAGCCAAGTGACAAGGGTTTGGTTTTTTTGGAGGACAGGAGAGCTGCCACAGGTGAGGAAGGACATCACAGACACCAAAGGAAGAGTCAGCACTTGTTCAGACAGCCACCACAGAGGGACTGACAGGGCAGGACAGGGAACACCTGCCCAGGTGCTGTCACTGGTGTGGAAAACCATTATCATTTATTCTCCTACAGGAAGGAGTTATGGAATCGTTCCACTCTTTCAGACTGGCTCATTATCCCCATATTTTGCCTCATTTAATTCCGTATTACAGCCAGGATTATGCACAGCTTATGGGGGTCATTAGAGCAACCCCCCAGCCAAGATCCAGCAGCATCACAGAGCATGAAACCACTCAAGGAAATATTTCCAAGTGTTCTCATGGCACAAGAAAGGCAGGAGTAGCAAAATATTGGGAAACAAAAAAAAGCACCCAGATCTGGTGTGCTGAAAACAGCACGAAAATAGCAGCACCAACAGACAGACTCTAAATTTTAAGACTTACAAGGGTGGGTTAAAAACACCAGCACAAACTGAAATGTTTGGACATAATCACAGAGCTAAAAAAGAAAACCCTTAAAGGTACATCCATGTGGAAAGAACACGCTGGAGAGTCCAACTTCAAAGAGGCAAAGGTTGCAGATGTTAAATCCCGAGTGCACTGATGCTCATTAGAGGCATCTTACAGCTAAAAGCTTATCCCTGCATCTCCGTGGTCAGATCCTAGAAACCAGAGAGCCTTTCCAGCACAGAGCACTCCATGGCATCCTTTCAGAGAAGTCAGTTTATTCCTGCCTCAGTATTATGGCAGATTTGCTACGCCTGCTGTCCTGCCCTGCATTCCGAGTGCCCTCCCGGCTTAAAGCATCTCCCGCATCAACAGCATGGCCACAAAAAGCATCTCTGCCTCATCCACCCATGGGGAGAGGTGTGGAAAGGAACAAAAAAAACGGGACAAAAATTAGATGTTGACAAGCAGGTGGAAAAGCAGCGGATTTTTGCCCGGGTGAGCTGGTGCAGCAATGTCACCCGGCTTTCTCCCTGCTGCTGTGTTTCTCCACTAGAGGACCCAGGTGAGATGTCTCTACTACAGCTTCTGCAGCTAAAGCACGGGGAAAAATACATTTAAAAAAAAAAAAAAAAAAAGCCAGCCCCGACATGTGGATGGTCCATGTAAAATGAATGGAAATGTACTAGTGCATGCGGCACACCAGACGTGCTCCCGTAATTCCCAAAAAACCACGGCCACGCTGCTGAGCTGCTGCCGCTCGGTGGGAAAGAAACGGTGCTGGTGGGAATGAAGGGTAAATCCCAGAGTATCCACGCCGGGCTGGATCACAGGGCTCCAGCCCAGCGCAAGTGCTGCTACATTCCAACACCAGCACTGCATATTAAGCTGGAAAGTAGCAGATAAACAAAGGCTATAGAAGGTGCTAGAGAAGGGCCAGTATCAGCTGTTATTTACCAAATAAACCTCCCATCCACACGGAGACGGCTCTATTTTATTATTATTTTTACGCACACACATCCCCCATTCCCCCCCCCGCCCCTTCCCCCACGTATTGACTCAGCTCCTGCCGAATGGGAAGAGCATCATTTAACCGAGCTCTGTTATCACCGCGCTGCCAAAAACCAGCGGCAACGGCTGCTGCCACCCCCAGCGCCCCTTCCCGGGGGCGATACGGCCCAGCCTATCGGCCCCGCTCAACTGCTGCGGCCAAAACCCCATCCTTGGCACTTCCCTGGCACACTGGGGGGAAGGTGGCACCCCGCGGCTGGGAGCTAATCCTCGCTTTTCCCTCGCCCCGAGGCTTCCCGGAGCCGAGGAGGTGCCCGGGGATGCCAGCGCAGGTGCGGGGAGGGGGGATGGAAAGCGCTGGTGCTGCAGAGGGAGAGGGGGATGCGCTGGCGGGGACATGGGAAGGGCCGGCTTCACCTGCTCCAGGCACGGAGGGAGGGGATGGGCAAGGAAAACCGCATCTCTGGCGCTCGGAAAGCGTGGGATCTGCTTACCTGCGGACCGGAGGGGAGGGGGGAGAGGGGACTGCGGCTCAGGGGGAGCGACTCAGCCAAGTCTCCGAGGGCTCGGGCAGGGAAGGGGAGATGGACGAGAGGGGCCGGAGCGCCGAGCGAGCCCCGCGGAGCCCGGGACGCGCTGCGACACTGCGGGCGACAGGGCCGGCCGAGCCACGCGGTGCGGCGGGGACAGCGGGCACCGAGGGGACACCGCGGCGGCACCACGGCGCCAAGGGTGGGGAGGGTCTGCCAGTCCCACCTGCCTCCCTCCCTTCCTCCCGTCTCCTCTCCCTCACTCACCCTCTGCATGGCTTTCAGGATCAAAGCCAGTTCATAGCGGGGCATCTTAGAGCTGGCAGTGGCGGGAGGAGCGGGGGCACGGGGTGGGGAGGAGGGGGCTGCGGCGAGGCCGGAGAGGAGGAGCAGGGGGGACAGGAGGAGGAGGAAGAGGAGGAAGGCGCGTCCCGGCGCTGTGGCGGCTCCTTCCCGCGCGGCTCCCGCGGCTCAGACGCCCGTACAGGCAGGGGCGGCGCGGCTTAAAGGGCGCAGGAGCTGCGCACGCTCGACCGGGCCGGCCCTGCCCGCGCCAAGCGCCGCCTCCGCCGGGCCGGGGCTGCCCCGCATCGCGGCCTGAGGGCCGGGACCCCCGCGCGGGCACGGCCGGGCCCTCCCCGCGCTGCCCCCGCGGCCGGCGCCGCCCCCGGCCCCGCCGAGCCGCCCCAGCCGCCGGCGCTGCCGCTGCTGCAGGGAGTGGAAATTTCCACTGCGCCGCCCCCTCGCTCCCCCCGCCGGGCCGCGCTCACTCCCGCCGGGGCCGCGCACGGAGCGCCGGGGGAGGGCCGGGGCTCGGGGCCGCGCCGCGTGTGGGCCGAGCTCGGCGGGGACGGCTCGGGCTGTGCCGCCGTGTGGGACTTCCAGTGCGTGTGGGACACCCTGTCCGTGTGGGACACCCTGTCCGTGTGGGGCACCCTGTCCGTGTGGGACACCCTGCCCGTGTGGGACACTCTGCCCGTGTGGGGCTCCCTGCCCTTGTCACCCTGTCCGTGTGGGACACCCAGCTCGTGTGGGACATCCTGTTCGTGTGGGGCTCCCTGCCCTTGTCACCCTGTCCGTGTGGGACACTCTGCCCGTGTGGGGCTCCCTGCCCTTGTCACCCTGCCCGTGTGGGACACCCGGATCGTGTGGGACACCCTGCCATTGTCACCCTGTCCGTGTGGGACACCCTGCCCGTGTGGGACACTATGCCCTTGTCACCCTGCCCGTGTGGGGCTCCCTTGCCTGTGCCACCGAAAGGCTCGGGTGGGACAGGACACGGGGAATCATCCTGCTCAATTCCCTGCCGTGAGCATGGACACCTTTCACAGGGCCAGGTTGCTTCGAGCCCTGACCAACCTGGTCCCTTCCAGAACCTTCCTCATCCTCAGGGTGCCTCAGTGTGCCCCCAGGAGTTTCCCATTCTCAGAGGTCCTCAGTGCACAGACAGCTCCTTCTCCATCTGCACAGTCCTTCAGTGCACACCCAAAACTTCTTCATCCTTAGAGCAGCCAGCACCTTCCTCATCCTCAGGACATCCCCCTCAACTTCTCCATGCTCAGAATTCCCCAGTGCACAGCCAGGACAATCCATATCCTCAGAACACCTCCAGGACCTCCCCTGTCCTCAGGGCACATTCGGGACCATCCTCAGAGCACCCCCAGGACCATCCCCATCCTCAGAGCACCCTCAGAACTTCTCCACGCTCAGAACTCCCCAATGCACAGCCAGGACAATTCCCATTCTGAGAGCACCCCCGGGTCCTTCCCCATCCTCGGGGCAGTCAGAGCCATGGGGTGAGCACCTCTCAGGTGGATGTGGCCGGGTGGAGAGGCCTGAGGAGAGGCGGGATGGAGGTAAAGCTGCATATCCAGCCTTGGTGCCCAAGTCCTCCCAGCGAGGGAGGTTCTGGACACGCATTTCCCAGCCTGGCGTGCCCAAAGTCAGTGACACCGATCCCTCCGGCTGCAGCACATCCAACACCAGCGTCCAGGCAGGCTGTGCTGGAAGCTGAACCACTTGCTCCCACCAAAAAAAGTGTTTGAGGGGCTTGGGTGTTTGTTTGAACACTCTTTGTCTTGTCTGTCCCTTCTCTCACACCGATGCCCAAAATCTGGCTTTGGGGAGACACAAATTTCTGCCCAAGCTGTTGAAGCCCTCATTGCTGGGTCCTGTCCCCAGGAAAGAGGGATGAGAAAGCAGCCCCACCATGCCCAAGGGGGAGCAGAGAAAGTGGCAGATCTCGAGAATAAAAAACTTTAATGAAATATCATTGGAATCTCAGCCCCAGGCCATGCAGAGAGGCCTCAACAGCTTCCCTGGGAGTCCCAGCCATGCTCTTTCCATAGCCAGGCTCGTTTGCTTCTGCTCTGCCTGCACAGGGAAGCTGCCACAGTCGGTGCCATCAATCCTGAGGGCAGGTATGGAAATGGAAAACTTCTCCCAGCACTTTTCAGCAGGACTTGCAGCTCAGCCAGCCCCGGTACTGCTGTGAGCCTTCCTTGTCTCAGGCAGGTGTGAGCTCCCCGTGGTTCCCAACACATCCTGTGCCCTCCAGGCATGAGGGCTGTGGGAGTCCTGGGAGCTGTTTTGGGTACTGCTACAAGACAAATTGCCTGTGCAGAAGTGTTTACAGGTATTCCCAAGCTCCCACCCCTCCGTGCTCAGGCAGTAATTGCCAGGCAGCTGACAGGGAGAATTTACTGCCTGTTGGTGCTCACAATGCAAACTCTCCCTGGGTTTGCTTCCCTTTACTTTGCTTCCCTGTTTGTTTTCTAATACAGTGTTGTCTGGCCTGAGCTTCTTCCTGATTCTGAACCATGTGCCTGGCAAGTTCAGGAGGAAATCCAGGTGAGGTGGGAATGCCCAGGAACCCCTGCCATTCCCACATCAGCCATTCCCACCCTCCAGGTGCTCCTGGCACACCACAGGTGACCCGTGATGTTCTCTTTGTCACATTAGGAGCTGTCACATTTTGGCCAGGGGCAGAAAGGAGTGGGGAGAGCTCTAATTCCCAGTTCTTCTCCTTCAAACACTCCTCTGGCAGAAGAAAAGGAAATGTTCAATCCCTGTCCCTGTCGTCTTCCCAGTGCTGCTTTCAAATGCCAATATCAGATTCCCAGTAGGATCTAAATTTACAGTCACTGTTCATTCTCACTTCTGACTCCATTCCACATGGAATCTCCCTAAATACACATCTGCATGTGGCCAACTCCCTCTCTTTTTGGGAATCCCCCCCCACCCCCCAGCTGTATTTAAAGCTGTCTCAAGACTCCCCAAACCAGGTGTCCAGGTGACACCTCCAGGGATGGGCACTGCAAAGCTCCCTGGGCAGCCCCTGCCAAGGCCTGAGCTCCCTTTCCATGGGCAAATTCCTGCTGCTGTCCACCCTGAGCCTCCCCTGGCCCAGCCTGAGGCCGTTCCCTCTCCTCCTGTCCCTGTTCCCTGGCAGCAGAGCCCGACCCCCCCGGCTGTCCCCTCCTGCCAGGGACTTGTGCAGAGCCACAAGGGCCCCCTGAGCCTCCTTTGCTCCAGGCTGAGCCCCTTTCCCAGCTCCCTCAGCCCCTCCTGGGGCTCCAGCCCCTTCCCAGCTCCGTTCCCTGCCCTGGACACGCTCCAGCTCTGCCAGCTCTGCCCTCTCCTGCTCTGTCCATCCCTTTATGGAAGCTCAGGATGATCCCCAGATCTTTCACCACCGATCTAAGGTGTCCACCAGGTCTGAGCTCTCTTGAATCTCACAAGCTTTTCCTCCAAAAGGATCCAAAGACTGTAGGAAATTTAATATTTAAAAGGACATAGTTAGAGAAGATGGTCTGAACAACGAGTGGTGGCCATGCCCTGAATACTCAGTAAGGAAATAGACTCCCCTAATAGAGATTTTATCTATTTAAATAATAAGTGTCATGCAAAATGTCCTGAGATTTTCAGGCTGGAATTTGGACAAACCACCCTGTCTTCATCCTGGTGTCAGTCCCATCCATCCCTATCCCAAACAGCAGCACAGAGAGCGTGGATGAATAACTCCACTCTTAACACATCACCCTTTGTAATAAAGAACAAGATAAAAATGTGTCCTCATGCATTCCATGCACAAATGCCAGTGCAGGTTTTCTTTGGGAAAGATGTTTGGAATGTTTGAGGGTTGTAGCAAAGTGGGGCTGCTCCCAGGGAACAAGGACAGGACAAGGAGAAATGTCCTCAAGCTGTGCCAGGGGAGGCTCAGGTTGGACACCAGGAGCAATTTCTCCATGGAAAGCATGGTCACGATTTGGAAGGAGGTCACAGCTTGGACTCGATGATCTGGGAGGGCTTTTCCAACCTCAATAATTCTGGGATTCTATGAAAAAAGGTCCTGCAATATCTCAGAGGCTCCTGACATAGAAGCTGGCCCAGCATGGCAGGGTTAAAGGGGAAAATGAAAGAAAAAACCGACACTTTTAGAAGCTCAGAATCACCATTCAGAGCCTCTCTAACCACAGCTATTTTGGGTTTTAGCAGTCTCTTGATTAGGCTGGATTAAACCTAATTTTGAAGGTCCTCTGTGCACCACAGAAAGCCAATTCTCTCCCTCTATTAAAAACTTTCATTTCCACCTATGACACCTTGCTCAATATCAAAATAAAATCAAAATTTATCACAGGTTTAGGACTGGGATGTTGGTTACCTCCAGCTCCAGATCAGGAGAGATTTTGGGAGGTGCTGGTGGAAAACAGGGATTGCCTGTGGAAAGAGGAATTGCCCTGCCAGGTGAGGTTTTGCTTGCCTGGGTATGGGCAGGGGTGTGGAACAGGTGCAGGCCTGTTCTCTCTGCTGTTTCCTCACTGCTCCACGAGGTTTGTCCATAAATACCACACATTTCAGGTGGGTTTAGGATTTAGGACTAGGAGCTAATGAGAGGATGTAAAACAGAGGGGAAAAGGGAGAAGAATGGATGGAAAAAGGCTGGGATGAAGAAAGGCTGGATTTGAGCAAGATTAGGATGGGGAAAGATGGGGTAGTAGGAAGATGAATGAGCTAAAAGAGAACAGGAAGAATGATGGATCTGTGTGTCCAGAGGGGGCTCCAGGATGAGCAGAGGGATGGAGCAGCTCTGCTGGCAGGAAAGGCTGGCCCAGCTGCCATTGTTCAGCCTGGCCAGGAGAAGCTTTGGGCTGAGCTCAGGGTGGCCTTGCAGGGCCTGAAGGAGCCCCAGGAAAGCTGGAGAGAGACAATTGCCAAGGGCTGCAGGGCCAGGAGCCAGGGAATGGCTGCCAGTGGCAGAGGGCAGGGCTGGATCTTGGGATCTTGGGCAGGAATTGTTCCCTGGCAGGGTGGGCAGGGGCTGGGATGGAATTGCCAGAGCAGCTGGGGCTGCCCCTGGATCCCTGGCAGTGCCCAAGGCCAGGCTGGACATTGGGAGCTTCTGGGACAGTGGGAGGTGGCCCTGCCATGGATCTGGATGGGCTTTAAGGTCCCTCCAACCCAAGCATTCCATGGATCTGGGATCTCTCCTGTCACCTCCCTTCAGGAA